AATGTCTATGGCAACATATTAAACTGTAAATTGATTGTAAAAAAGCATGATTTACAGTTCAAATACAGGTTTTCACAAAAACTATTTTTTTAATAAAATAATAAACGTTACATTTTAGCCTTTAAACTAATTTTAAGAAAAGGGATGAGTCAATAGTATCAATTACATTGATTTAAACAATTATTATCAATCCATTATTATATTAATTTAATAACATATAAATATATTTTAGTGTCTTAATTGTTTAGACTTTTATAATGCATTAGCATTAGCTTATTGTCGATCCACCGGCTCACGTTTACAACTGCGTGTTTGCCGCGTAAAAATATGGCTCGATTTTCGCATTGGTCTGAACCCATAAAAAAAACAGCAGACTGGCTTTTTGAATAATGCAAATTCATCCTCTGCCAGCAGGAGGCGCTTTTGGAACGGCAGAAATACAGCAGTTTCCCTGGTAACGGCAGTATGCAAAGCAGCGCAGCACCTGACTTTGAAAAGTGCAGCGCTCATGTTTAATCAATGAAATCATAGCTTTTTTAAGTTTAAAGATCACATTAAGCCATATCACAATTCTGGTCTTTCTGTCCCCAAATTTAAGACCTCTTGAAATCATAATTAAGACCCGTGGAAACCCTGTGACCTGAGCAGATTAACACATGCATCTCCCACTCTTTTGATTGCAGTGCAGGGGCTTCTGTAGCAGCAGAAATGCCCACCTCACTTTATATCAGATGGGTTTATCCGTCTCCTCAGGCATTTGTATTTATCCTGACACTGTCTACATGGATTAAAGCCCAACTGAGCAATGCAGAGTGTGTCCCAGTATTCAATGCTTACTGCGCAAGTCAACAAAATAATCATCTACAGCAGCCTCAAACGTATTTGGACACCCAAGCCACACTGACATTTCATTGCATTAGATGGCAAAATATAAAACTAATTGGGAATAAATGATGCTAGATGCTTTTCTCAAAACTAAAATTCACTTTCTAAACCATTTTTGCAATGATAATTTAATAATAATATTAATTGATTTTTAGGAGGAATTTCCAGAATGGATTTAAACATGGTAATGTGTTAAACAGATCTGAATTCTAAACTTAGCTATTGGATTGCTTTCAGTCTCAAATGCCTCTTGGAGGGCATTTCGACTTAGTCTTCTATTTATCGGATAGCTATCTGATCAGTAAAAATGCATGAAGTAATAAAGCATATATACTACTTAGTTTAACAACCACAAAGTGTCCAAATATTATTTTTATTTTTTATTTTCTGAATTTTGAATTATATATATATATATATATATAGTATACAATTAAAAACTATTTGATCTATTTATGAAATATTTTGGTTGAAATGTATATTTCTTGAAAAAGCCTGTTGGTTTGATATTTTATTGTCTAATGGATTAAAATTTCAAACATTTTAAGAGTGCTTAAGTGTTCAAATACTTTTCGGGGCCATTGTATGGCCATAGATGCTTCTGTTGATAATGGAAAGCCATCTATCATGTCTCTTATAGATCACTGGTACATCCTGCTGTGTGTCTGGCCTGTGTTCGTGCATGTGAGCACATCACAGCCAGCGGAGTCATTTGGTCAGTTTTCCACAGCTGGTTTCCACCACGTAATTCCATCAGGTAACCAGACCTGATTATGTGAACTGTCTGCATGCAGGTTTTATGATATACAGACTCACGAAAGAGTCGATCTCATTGGCTGAGAGGAACCTCTCGTTCTGACCGACAGCGGAGATGTGGGAGAGATGTCAGATTTATGTGTGTAAGAGTGTGTGTTTTGCTGATGTCAGTGTCTCAAACTGTCAGCGGAGCTGCCGGGGAGATGAGTGAGCTGTCCCACCAAGCACAACGCTCGGCTGTCAATCAAACACAGCAATTTATAAGCCAAGGTCATGACAGGCAGGCAGCGAGAGTGAGAGAGGCAGTCAAAGAGCTATCGCCATCCCAACGTACTTTTATAGGAAAACTGACTTAAGGGAACAGGATCAAACTATTAAGATGTTTGCAAATGGCTAACAGAACCATGATAAATCATGTACAGAATATAACCGGCAGAAGCTGAAAATTCTGTCAACATTTACTCACCTTCATGTTGTTACAAAAGCTGCATGATGTTCTATGGTGCTTTTTTGTCATTTTTTTTGTTTGACAGTCCTAGTTCCCGTTCATTGTCATTATATGGAAAGGAATGTCCAGTGTTCCGTCTTTTGTGTTGCACTGAGGGGAAAAAAATCATATATGGAACCATGTGTGTAAGTAAATGAAAACAGAACTCATTTGGGGGGTGAACTGTTACTTCAAGCAGGTTTCCATTTATTCTGAATTAACAGATATCGAATAACAGGCTGTATATAATACAATCAATAACCATGATCATAATGCATCAGCTAAGGTTTCTGTATCCGGCCATAACGCCTTGGTCATTTGAAACATAGACATATCTGTTGACATCCATCACTGCAACTGAGCGGAAGAAAGATTAATATTTGCTGATATGAGCAGACAGAGAAGAATAAGATTACATAACAACAATATACAGTAGACTAGTGTGTGTGTATACACTGTCGGTCAAAAGTTTGGAATAATTAGGATTTTTTTAATGTTGTTGAAAGTAGTCGTTTATGCTCACCAAGGCTGCGTTTATTTGATTAAAAATACAGTAAAAAAAAAAAAAAAAAAAGTAATATTGTGAAATAATGTTACAAATTTGAAAAAACTGTTCATATGTTTTAAAATGCAATTTATTCCTGTGATGCAAAGCTGAATTTTCTGCATCACTACTCAGACACTCAGTGTCACATGATCCTTCAGAAAACATTCTAATATGCTGCTCAAGAAATATTTCTTATTATCTTATATCTTGAATACAGTTGAGGCTTAATATTTTTGTGGAAAACGTGATACACTACCATTCAAAAGTAAGACTAATAATAAATTAATACTTTTATGTGCAATAAATTGATCAAAAGTGACAATAAAGGCATTTATATTGTAACAAAAGATTATTTCAAAAAATAATCTGCTGATAATGATCTGAAAATGAATCTGAAAATAATGATGCTGTTATTTTGAATTTTCAATATATCAACCAATCCTAAAAAGTATCATGATTTCCATAAAATATTAAGCTGCAAAAAACGTTTTCAACATTGATAATAAGAACCATTATTGATCATTTAGTACCAGTAATAATTTAGAGGAAAATCAGCATATTAGAATGATTTCTGAAGGATCATGTGACAATGAAGACTGGAGTAATGATGCTGAAAATTCAGCTTTGCATCACATAAATTACATTTTAAAATAAAATAGAAACTAGTTCTTTTCAGTTGTTATAACAATTTACAATATTACTGTTTTTACTTAAAGCTGAATTTTCTGCATCACTACTCAGACACTCAGTGTCACATGATCCTTCAGAAAACATTCTAATATGCTGCTCAAGAAATATTTCTTATTATCTTATATCTTGAATACAGTTGAGGCTTAATATTTTTGTGGAAAACGTGATACACTACCATTCAAAAGTAAGACTAATAATAAATTAATACTTTTATGTGCAATAAATTGATCAAAAGTGACAATAAAGGCATTTATATTGTAACAAAAGATTATTTCAAAAAATAATCTGCTGATAATGATCTGAAAATGAATCTGAAAATAATGATGCTGTTATTTTGAATTTTCAATATATCAACCAATCCTAAAAAGTATCATGATTTCCATAAAATATTAAGCTGCAAAAAACGTTTTCAACATTGATAATAAGAACCATTATTGATCATTTAGCATATCAGCATATTAGAATGATTTCTGAAGGATCATGTGACACTGAAGACTGGAGTAATGATGCTGAAAATTCAGCTTTGCATCACATAAATTACATTTTAAAATAAAATAGAAACTAGTTCTTTTCAGTTGTTATAACAATTTACAATATTACTGTTTTTACTTAATAAATGCCAATTATAATTATTTAAAAAGCAGTAATAGGATATCATGACATGCAGAGGTGCTAAATATTAACACATTGTTCATTACACTTTCTTTGACCTTATTTTTCATCTTTTTTTAGCAAGCTCAGTGACACATAATGGCTGATAAAGCAGTTTTAATCTCCTCTCCATGTGCATAATAAAGTCTTCATTACTCTCCTCATTAGTCATTATTTTAATGTATGAGCCAAACTCACTAATTGAAGGGTCTCAGGGCCATTAAACTTTAATCAAGCTACATTTTTCCAGCAAAATGGGAGGGTGTTGGCTTGAGCAGAGACAGATTTGATAAGGTTTCAGTGTTGTTTAATAAGCTCTATCTATCTATCTATCTATCTATCCTCCTTAAAAAAACAATGAGATGCTGCTCATATTTATTTGTCCAGATTAAATGCAATGCTCTCCAGCTCTATATAGCACATTGAGTTATATTAACCAACTCCGTGGGCAAGAGACCAGGTCAGCAGAAAAGAATGAAAGAGAGAATTCGAGAGGGGAAACTGAGTCAAGTTTATTTGAAAGGTGATGTAATTTCAGCTGCAGTTTTCTAAAATTGGAAGTTGAGGAAGGACAAAGCAAATCCTCAGAATACCATGTACAGTCATCAGATCTCCTCTAACAGAAACGCAGGCAACATAAAGTTCGTACATAACGTTTCACCTTTATTCAGGGTTCTCAGACGCAGAGGTCATTATAGTTGGTAAATTTATAAAATAGGATTTTTGAGTTTCATTTGCTCCAATGGGAAAAGAAAAATACGTGGTTGCATTTCTGACTTCACAAAAGAGGTAAAAAATGTCAAAACATTTATTCCGTTCATTTAAAAAGAGAAAGATGTCAAATTTGCAGTCACTCCCTCAGCCGTGGTATTATAAACACTCAAGCAGTAGCATTAACTAGTTTGCTGTAATTTAATGGCAAGCTGATACAACACAAAGTAGTGTTATGAACATTACATTTTTGAAAAATGAAAATACAAAAAATGTTGCTTGATTGATGTTAATAACCGTGGAAACACGTCATCAAAGTCTGTGAAAAGGGTCCATTGTTTTAAACAATCTGGCCAATTTCGTTATATATTTCAGTTACTTGTCCTCAAGAGATCATCATATTTTGATTACAATCACTTTTTCAAATACTTCCTGTGCACAGTTAACGTTGGTGTAAATAATGTCTCTTCTCTTAATCTCTTTCCTGTTGAACAGATGTCTTTTCATTCAGCGGTAGTCCCTGAAGCTCTCTGTGATGGAGGAGGACACTTCTCTGAGCAAACACGAGTTCTACACAGCCACACCATAAATAATTGAATTTGTGCGCAGGCACTGCCCAGGCCACACATCAGTCCCACCAAGGTCACTCCCAGCTGTGGAAAGCAAGCTCCACTGTCTTCAGCATCCAGGGAAAAAACTATGAGAAACGCAACATTTTTGATTTTAGCCCTTTTCCTATCCTGTTTTCTAGATGAAATGTAAAAAAAATTATAATAATTTGGCTCTCACGCTCACAATACAGTACTTGCATTAATGCAAATAATTCTAAACACAATCAACCATTGGAATGACACAAAATATGCAGTTGTTTGGTACTTTTTACATTTTTGGGGGATTAAATAGGGTGACATGTTATAAATGTTCATATAATATTTGCGGAACGCAATTTAGTACTTGTTTCTTAGTAATTTTAGGGTGCTGATTCCAAAAATAGTGCCTGTTTTGCTCTAGCATGTCACACTTTCTCACAAAATATGAAGCATTTCATGGAATGTTTGCTTTCGACAACCAATTGTATGGTGAAGAAGTCTTGTATTATCCCTTAGTAACCAGAAGAAGAAAAAAAAACTGGCAAAAGACATGATTCCTATCTTCCCCTGAGCCAGGTTATTATAATTGAACATATTTATGCACTCCTTTGCAAACTAAGTTAAATTATAAATTTTGAATACTACTGGGGTTTTTTTGTTTGTTTTTTTATTAAAGCCGATACCCTGTATATCATTTGAACAAATTTCATTCTTATTTTGGGAAAAAATTGTATATGATGAAAAGTTTTTATTAATAGGTTTTAATCTCGAGCTCAAATTAGCTCATATTAGGCCCTTGTTGCAAAATAGCAAAATAATAGTAATAATAATAATAATAATAATAATAAATCTAGATGTGTGTGTGTGTGTGTGTGTGTGTGTGTGTGTGTGTGTGAGAAATACATTTACAAGAGGTGTGGCATGTGTGCAAATTTGTGCATGATGGTGGTACCAGAAATCTGTAATTAAGCTAATGCCAAATGTGTCATTTATATTGTGTAACTGAATTTAGTTTGATAAAACCACTTGATGAAATCCATTTTCTAGAGGGAAGTAAATGCACATCAGTTCTGCTGCTTTTTCTATCTTGTTCATCAGCTGAGCTTTGAACAGAAGCATCAGGGCTAGTGGACGCTGTTGCCCTAAAGGTGTCGACGTGCATTTAGAAGCCATTTATGTCAGAGGCTGAATGAGATGCATTATAAGATGGTCATGTTGGAACACGCAGCCAGATGATACGGAGCCATGCTGCCCGTCTGGACGCGGCTTGCTCCGTTACAACTGTGGATGACTAATTAATGCCTCTTTGACAGGTGACACCATTTTATAAGTATCTGTTACTCTCCGGCGCATAGGCTGGTATAATGCATCCAGATTGACCAAGCAAAGATGGAATCCACCTCCATTATTAATTCACGTGGCTCAGGAGTAGTGTTTAAGTAGTGTGTCTCTCTGCACTCCTGCAGTGTTCCACTGGCCCCGGGACCACGCTTCAAAGACCCGGCTTGATTACAGCCTCAGGGGCCTTCGCCTCGCTGTAGATGGGTGGAGAAGAGGAACGGAGAAGGAATCTTTTTTAATTTTTATTACTTGGAAAGTGATTAGGAGGGTTTTTAGTCCGTCTTGGGGACGGGAGATACATGACACCTATGAATGATGAGATTGATCGGTGCGATGATTGATTTTCCTTCATAAAATCCGTAAAATTTGGAAGACTGTGTGTCTAATTCTCATTTCCGTTAATAGGGACGCTTGATCTATAAGATTCGATGACCTTGAGGGTGAAGCAAAAGGACGTGTGATTCCCACCGAGTGTGAGATATAAATGACCTTGTTGCCTTTTGATTGATGAGAAGCGTGTACCTGCATTGGTGATTTATCAGGGCAGAGCCGTTTGTCACACAGACAGCTGATTTAGGTTTACGTGGTGGTGCGTGATGAATGAAAAACCTCCTGATGAAGGTATAGCCTTGCGTGTGTGCCAGAATAGCATTCCATGGGGCAGAGTCCTTCAACTCCTTACCCTTTGCTTAGAGGCAGCTCTGAAGGGCTCAAGCAATGGGAGGGGCAGAATGAACAGCATTTACCCACAAATCCTTGCCTTTTGGGACATAAGCGGTCTCCTGATGTGAAGCCAATGGGAGCGCACTGTAAACGCATGAGCTTTAATCTCCACTGACACATCGCTTCTGTAGGTCACTTTCATCGCTGATACTTTCTGCATGTAAACTTTTCATGGCCGCTGTAAGCCTCCAGAGACATTTCTAGAAACTGGTTGACAGATTCGTGACAAGTCTTATAAGTAAGCTGGAAACGTACCAAGCATAAAAAACCTGTCAAAATATAAACCTGCACAGCACATAGTAATGAAAAGGGAAAGGGATTTCACTGCATATATCTTTTTTGGTATGGTGACAGTCCTTCAGGTGAAGTGAAAATGTTCAAATATCCAACAGGAAAAATTAAATTCTGATATATTAATAGTATTTTATGGTATGTCATTCTGGTATAAATGCATATATTGCTGAAATATAAAGTTGTAGACATCAATAATGTATTGATATAAATAAAAAAAAATATGCTGCAAATAATTTTCATATAATAATTTTACATTTATGCTACACACACACATTAGTACAGACAGACAAATAGATTTAAAAAAAAAATCTAGTTGCTGCTTTTACTTTAAGAAACACAAGTTCCCTCACTCACACAGACATGTCACATTATGTTTTTAATCTCTGTGGTTTTATTTGTCTGAAAAGTGCATGCTTGACTTGTTAAGGTTTGTCATTACTCAGTGTGCCTGGTTTAATTCAGCCAGAGGAGAAATTCAACAATAAGCAGTTAAAGGAAGGGTACTCACCCATCACAGCTCATTTACATAAGTACACAGAAAGTGTTTTTTTTGTTTTGTTTTTTTTAACAAAGCTACTGATTTGTTTTCCTACTCTCTGCATGTGTTCAGAATGTATGAGCGTCTCATAGTCAGCAGTTTTATATGCTTATATAATATGGATCTGAATGAACATGTCAGGCTTGTACGTCTGTTGACACGTGTCCTTGTTTTAAGTATCTAGGCATTTGCAGTGCGAGACCACAAAGTGATGTATGTACATATCATTTTTAAATTCTGCTGACAGTATGTCAGATGCACATATCTACAAATTACTAGCGGATGACACCCTTGTTTACATCAAGCCTGCGGGTCAATGTGACAGCTGTAATGTTATAATCCATTAATAAAAGGTTTCTTATCTGTGTTTTGGCAATCGCACAGTGTAGACACAGCCTGATGGCAGACGTTCTGGTTGAGTACAGGTGCTTGCCATCTTACAGGTCTTCGCAGATGTCCCCGTGTGACTTCCTCTTTCTCTGCCCGCCAAGAGGAAGCACCTTGAGTTAATGAGAAAAAACCCTCTGTTAATGCTTATCAGAGCAAGCAGAAGAGCCATCCAACCATAATCACCTCCTCCAGGCTCCACCATCCACCCACAAATCCTTTTGTCTGGGTCACGGGTGAAAAACAAAACACACTTTGGCGTGATCATCGGAGGAAAACTGATGTTTGCAGTTGGACACCAACACCACACACTGGCAACAAAACCTGCAGGCATTGCAATTACAAAGCAGCCCTTTAGAAGTCTCTCAAAAAGGTGACGTTAAGAGATATACTTAAGTGAATCTTTCAGTACTGCAAAACAGAACGGGGTCAATCTTACTTTCTAAAAGAAAAAAAGTACCTATATTTATTTTTGCATGCATCTCAGCAAACCCGGCAGGAAAAATGGAAGCCTATTTCCACCACAGAATTTTTAAAAAATTGCAACTTTTTAATCTCACAGTTTAGACTTTTCTTCTCAGAATTGCCCATTTATATCTCACAATTCTGAGTTTAAATCTAGCAATTTGCAATCTTTTTATTTGAGCTATATACCAACTTGATATCACAGGAAAATGCAACTATTTTATGATGTGGTGAATTTGTATAACGTGAATATGAAAACGTACAATTAAAAAAAAAAAAAAAAGAATGAAGTTCCACACTATGTGTTGCATGAGAGACGTTTGATAATGCACTGCTTTGGTTAAGTGCTCTTATCTGACAATTTACTCTCTGGGGTCACTCTGGGGTGGATGTTGGAAATTTGCGGAAATGTGTGGTCAGGTTTAATGCAGACATTTTGTGGAGAGATCAGGTTGATCTGAAGTGAGCAGAATGGAAAATGAGCTGTCAGAGGAGCTCACCCAAACAGAGCACACTGTTACCACTGATCCAGCAAGCAGAAAGCCGGTCAGACGCTGCCAATACACACACTTTAAAGTGACGGGCATAGAACAAACACATGGCTGAGTGACGCTGAACTAATGCTCTTTACAAACAATGCACATGTGGTGCAAACTCACGCAGACACACACAAACAATTACACAAAACTAATGTGCATTTCAAATGCTTAAATGTAAATCTGAGGAAAACAAGTCCAGTTCACAAATTGGATTTTTTGCATTAAGGTAATGAGAACTTTGTTGGAAATGTGTGAAAACGTTTTTGTAATGTCTCCCATGCTCACCAAAGCTGCATTTATTTAATAAAACAATACTGTGTAAACAGTAATGTTGTGAAATATTATTATAATTTAAAAGAACTGTTTTCTATATAATATACTTTACAATTTAATTTATTCCCGTGTTGGCAAAGCTGAATTTTCAGCAGCCATTACTCCAGTCTTCAGTGTCACATGATCCTTCAGAAATAATTTTAATATACTGATTTGGTGCTTAATTTTAATAATTATTATTGGTGCTCAATTATTAATATTTTTTTTCAATATTAATCTTTTTTTTTTTTTTGCTGTGTAATACTTTTATGAAATGTGATACATTTCTTTCAGGATTCTGATTAATAAAAAGTTTACAAGAACAGCATTTATTTGAATCTTTATTTAATCTTTTTTGTTTGATATTTTGCAACATTATAAATATCTTTACTGTCACTTTTGATCAATGTAATATGTCCTTGCTGAATAAAAGTATTTATTTTCTTATTTATCCCCAAACTTTTGAATGGTAATGTATCACATTTTCCAAAAAAATATTATACAGCAAAAACTATTCTGAATATTGATTAGAAATGTTTCTTGAGCATCAAATCAGCATATAACAATTATTTCTGAAGGATCATGTGACACTGAAGACTGGAGTAATGGCTGAAGAATGGAGTAATGCTGAAAATTCAGCTTTGCAAACACAGGAAAAAAATATTTAAAAATATATTAAAAGTTTATTATATATATATATATATATAAAAATTAAATAAATATAAATTAAATGTATTTGAATATATAATTCAAAATTCACACATTTATTCACAGCTGTAAAGCATCTGTCTCTCTTACTTTCTGGCTAGGAACCTGCTGAGTGACAGACATTGTGACACTTTGCCAACTGTGGTACTCCAGACGGGCAGCCTCAAGGATAAAGTAATATACCTGGCCAAGTTGCCCATTTGGAACATGATAGCTCATATCTGTTGCACACCTCAAACCGGCTTATAGGCTGACAAGTACAATTAGGCCACTTTGTCAGGTACCCACAGAATAAAATAATCATGGTGCATCACTCGATAACAGCCATCACTTAGGTTATAGCCCTTCTGATGCATGCATTTTTGATGATTACGATGCTGCTTCTCAGTCTAGTGTTGATAAACATTGGGCTAAAATCGAAAGCAGAAGGTTAGATTTTAAAGTAAAGTGATCAGTAATACATTTCGTGTGGCTAAAGGGTGGAGGATGGCTAACTGTAACGAAATCCCACAAAATTGAATTATCTCCAAGCGTTAAAAGCTACATGCACCACTTGACTGGAGAAAATGACTGAATGCTGAGTGCTCTCGTTTGAACTCGAGTAACCTTTGGTGGAAAAGTGACTTTTCTTGTGATCACAATCCTGCTGCAGGAGCCAGAAGCTTCAACTTTGTCACCAAAATGAATCCTCCATTTATGTCTCTTAGCATGTGAGAGTTTATAGAGCTTATTACCAGTGTCTATTTGTCTGATTGCACCAGTACAATTATCGTGTCATATCCAACACAGTGCCTGGAGATTTTCTCTTTGCTATTAAACAATAATCCACAGCAGCGGAAACTGTTCTCCAAAAATACTGTTCAGGCCAGGGACCAGTTTTAGGACAGACAGCAAAAATTCCAATGGGTTTAAAAATGCTTTACCTGCCAACAGATTGTACACCACAGACAGATAGGATGGAGTAACATTAGACCCTGTAGACAGCTGGCGTTCACAATATAGATTAGATTGCAGGGGCCACACCATGAACAGATACAGCAAATCAAAGATGGCATCAGAGAGCATACATGCGGAATTATCTTTTGGATATACAAAACTACAAAGAATTGATATTGTGCTTCGGTGTTAAATATTTAATAGGTGAAAAAATTGTTAGCCCTACATTATCAAACTCATAGTCCATATAGTAACTGTGCACACAGGCTAGTTCATGAGCATGTATAAGTAAACTGTGAGCAGGGTTAAGCCATCCATGTGCAGGGATTAGTAAACTGTTTTTATGAATTAATAGTCTTAAGGATTGGTCACAGATGTTAAGCATAAAAAAAAAAAATTCAATAATGCAACAACTTCATTATTCACTGAGCACTTACAGTATATTACAATGGACAGACAAGAGGATTTAAAAGCAGAAATGTGAAGCTTGTATTTTTGTTTTGTACTTTCATTAATTTTTCAGTTTGTTATTTTAGATGTTATGTTCTCTGAATCCTCTTTCTAGGTGGAATCATTCTTATGCAAGTACTGTGATTAGAGTTAGCTCAAAGTCAGCAGTGCTTCTAATTGTGTCCAGTCCCGACTCACCCTTCCATGTAGTATATCTACACTGCAAAAACTAGTAACCTGCAGTTGTTACTTTAAAGAGCCATTTCTATATGTGTGTATGAAGTTTTAATCCATTTTGTTTACTTGTGTATTGTTCTGGATGTATAATTATTTTATCTATTTTTGTAACACTGTGATGTTGTTATTATTATTATAGGGATGTGTCTTATTCTATCCATCCCTAATAGGGTCTATTAGAATTGGTGTGTCACATATCAGTGCACTGAAAATAGCAGTCCCAAAACCTGGTATACTGTCTTTCTACATACACAAACATACATTGTGCACATTAATATAGTACTTAAACAATATCAGACAACAATATTAGTTATACATTTCAATACAAATGTTTCAATAATTGAGTACAATTAAATGCGGATACTTACACTTTCTGACAAATATTTTTTGTTGGATACTTTGGCTTAATTGAGTAAAATTATGTTTTTACCCCGCTTATGTTATGATTGCTATTTTTACACCCCTGCTGAAGAGTCTTGTAGGCAGCATGCTTTATTTTCCCACAGAGCATGTAGCTGTCCCGTTTAAAAGTTTCTAAAATGCTTTGGTCAGGTTCATTCAGTGTCCACTCGGTCTTAACTGCAAAACTACACGGCTCTGTGTATCTCTCAAGGAGGGAAGTGGGCGAGGTTTTGCTCACCTCAGGGATGCTGCTAGACAGCACTTGATCGCATTTTAGTGTAGGCGTCGTCAGGGGAGCTCCAGAAAGAGAACATGCTGCCGGACTGAACACTCACTCTCTGGCCACACGGACCGCTTTCCTCGATGGCTGAAACGGTTTCTCCGAAGCGAAGTGAATCCGAACTATGAAGAGAACATATGCTGCAATTAAACCTTTGGAATAACATTCGCTTCAGTTTAAAATGGAAATTAACAGAAACCCACTTCGTGTTTTAGCTCACACTTTAAAACGATATCATTTTAGCGTGGGGCTGATGTGTTTGTTTGTTTTGTCCGCTGAAGCTCATAAATGTCACGATACCTACATGCGTTATGACGGATTGGTGAGTTGTGAAGAGATCATACTACCTCTCGAAGTGCCCAGAAGCATCCAAAACTTAACTTTACACAGATACAATATCTCAGTTTTAACCGAGAGAGCGTTTTCAGCCAATGGGACCGAAATGGACTTGCGCGCGCTGTCACTGCAGGACAACAACATACAGGTGATCGAAAGTTGTGCGTTTTGTGGACTCCCCCGACTTCTTTCCTTAGATTTGAGTCACAACCGTTTAATGGTTGTGCCCCCTGGAACTTTTTATGGCTTGGAACAGCTACGTAATCTTAACCTCAGTAACACCTTAATGACTTCGGGCGCGAGCCAATTACCACTCGCGCTGTCCACGGATAATTTGTGCGATCTTCAGAGATTGGACCTATCTGGAAACCGTTTGGAGGTAATTCCTCTTTCTGGGTTTGGCAACCTCAATTTAACCACATTAATACTGACAAATAATTCCATTGCGACCTTGGATAGTCACAATTTAGCGAAATTAAACGAGTTCAAGGAAATACGTATTTACTTATCACAGAACCCGTTCGATTGTAAATGTGACAAACTGAAGGAGTTTTATGATTGGCTGAAGAATAGCTCCCAATGCGCAGACTCCAATAGCCTGAAATGCGCGCAACCCGAAAAGAAGAAGAACACGCACGTGATGGATCTAGAAAAGAGGGACATGGAGTGCCAAAACTTGGATGCCCGTTCTTATGTGCTTCTCGGCATTGTGTTGGCCCTCATTGGAGTTGTGTTCCTCATGGTGTTGTACTTGAACAGAAGAGGCATCAAGAGGTGGCTTAATAACATTAGAGAGGCCTGCCGGGATCAAATGGAGGTGTATCATTACAGATATGAACAGGACTCCGATCCCAGGCTAGCAAATGTTGCAGTTTAAGCGGAATCTTCTGACCTCATCTTCTTGAATTATTTGATGAAATGCTATGACAACGAAACTGGAGTTTTGTGGTTTTTAAGTCCATGTATGTTAGCTTTAGGACAAGCACACTCTTAAAAGTTAACAAAATTAACTTTCAGCAGATAAACACTTTTTCAATAAACTTTTAAGGTTTGGGAAAATGGATATGGAATTTCAGTAACTCATCTTGCACTCATGGGTGTATCATTTTTTTTTGTCCAATATCTTTCTAGGTGGAATCATTCTTATGCAAGTACTGTGATTAGAGTTAGCTCAAAGTCAGCAGTGCTTCTAATTGTGTCCAGTCCCGACTCACCCTTCCATGTAGTATATCTACACTGCAAAAACTAGTAACCTGCAGTTGTTACTTTAAAGAGCCATTTCTATATGATTTAACCCACATAAAGTAGTTTTGGTGGAATAAATGAATGTATTTAGGTTGTTTCAGCAAATAATATTTTTGACTTGAATAAAACTAGTTAATTAACATGTTACCATTTTTTTCTCAGTGTACGTAGAATGAAAAATATAAAATTAATTAAGTGTGTGTATATATATAAATGTTGGAATGGGAATGCCCCTCCCACCTGTCTGGGACCAGCAATCAAGAAGGCTGTGTTTTTGCTACAAGCCATTGAGATGAATGGGAATGCTAACAGGTAGCTTTCTCCAGGTATTACAGATCTCATTGCAAGCAATAGAAAGTAACAAATCATGTTTCACGACTGTGACGTAAATGGAAGACTATTGACTATTTTTCAAAAGATCCTTAGCCAAAAATTTGTGTTTCAATAGGAAAAATTGTCAATACAGTAAAGACAACAGGGCTCATTAAGCGATTTCATCGCTTTAGCTGTTCATTTGTATTAGATGCTATGGAATGAAGGCAGTTTAACTGTATACATTTAACAGTTTCAAAAAATAATACTAATACATAAATAACAATTCCAAATAATTTATGAAAGTGCAGGATATATGTAACACTCCTTAATGCTTTCCTCAGTGCATTAACTTATTGCATCAAACAGTCCAGTTATAAAAACCTGGGTAAATGTAAGTAAAAATATACAATAACTTCCCTTATAAAGCTGAAAAAATGGGCATTAATGTATTTAATGAAATGGGTAAAGGACTTTCGTGACATAATTTGAGAATGTTTAATTGCATTAGGGTGAATGTGAAAAAAGCATTACATGCACTACCTGGAGGACTGCTTGAATTTTGTTTTCTTACCCTATAACCCTGTATACAGTGCCAAGACACTCTTGGTCTAGAGTGAGACACAATAAGCCCCCCCCCCAAAAAAAATGTGCAATTCTAACCTTCATCATCTCTTAGCATATTTTGTCATTTAAAAAATATTTATTTTAATTAAAAAGAAGAGCACTATTTTAAGAAAAACATTAAATTACTTTATTTTTTCTCAAAATATCGCAAAACTAGTGGTGCTGATGCTGGCCAAGAAAGCTGCAGGTGTCCATATGTGCTGATAGCTTCAGTTCAGGCCTTAGATGAAAGAAGGAAAGAATACCTTCTGCCTCAGCATCTTTCATCTGTTATATTCAGCTCCTTACAAAGAAGACGAATCCTCTTTCCCACTCAGATTTTTTCTATTTCTCACATGTGAACATATTAATCATACATGACCTACTCCAGACCCCAGTCTCATAGCGTCTCAGCAGAGTTAGTCACTCTCCGTGTGTAAAGAATTAGGCCTCTGACTCAGAGTCCATTGGCCCTGTAAGCCTGAGTGAAATTCAAAATGACTTTGTCCAATTCACTGCCTTTCTAAAATTGAGGAAATGGTCAAATATTTATGCCGGCCGCAGCAAAAAAGAAAAAGAGCAAGGGATAAAGAATGAAACCCATCGAAATAGGCTATTTTCTCTCATAATGGCCAGCCATAGTCTTTATAGCCATAGTGCTCCTCTGGTCTTGTGCCAATTCGCTCTCTATAGTGCTGGGATAACCAGCCATTACGATTCTATATTATCTTTTACACACCAGGAACACATTAGCATAGTGCCCGCCAAGCAACTAGACCTATTTTCAACAGATTACAGAAGTTAGCAGTCAGTAGCTATTGATCTTATGCGATTTTGGCACAAAACAACCCCAATATATATTCAACAGTATCTAGATTTTATTTCTCTCTCTCTCTCTCTCTCTCTCACCCTCTCCCTCTCCCCCTCTCTCTCTCTCTCTCTCTCTCTCTCTCTTCCTTGTACATTCTAAATGAATTTTTAAAATAAATGTGTAACACAACAAATAATCATAATAGAGTGTTTTTATTTACAGTAAATGCAGTGCTTTAAATGGTTAAAAACAATCTGCTACTTCTTCAAAGAAACAGTTCTATTATTAGCATCATCTCCCTTAAGCACTTACTAATTATTGGGATGTCTGTTCATTTGGGATTGTGAAGGTACAGACACATTATTTAAAAATGGTTGTTTTCATCACTCTAATTGAGAC